CATAATTTGTTACAAGCACTACAATGGTGCTTGGCACGGAGCTAGGTCTCCCAGCCATGCCTCACTGACCCAGCCCACACTGTACTATCTACCCACACACTTATAAATGCTTTTTTATTTGTTAATTAGAATGTGTGACAGAGATTTGCTGACATTCTACCCCTGAGATCAAGTCATATTCCTTCATATGAAATATTGTCAGATATCTTCAGTCATGAATAAGAGTAAAAAGAGAAAAATTGGATATGAAAGGATAGAAGGAAAGTAAAAATTCTGAAAATTGCCATTACAGAATATTCTCACTGAAAAGATACACTGCAATAGATTTGGGGAATGCTTCTAAGATCGGCAATTGATTACACATGTTTCTAAATCTTTGTAGCTTGAGAAATTTCTTATAGAATCTTACTTAAGTATCTCAATCGTTATTATTTCTACTTTTCAGATTGAAAATTTGAGACATTTTTCTAATACAGTCACATCTTCACAGAAGTTTACAAAACAAATAAATGAACTAAGATACTTGAATTTAGATCTTTTGACTCCATATCTTGGTTTTTACCTGCCAAATGACAAATTATAGTCTAACATAAAAGGATGCTTTGAGAACTTTTAGTTTATAGATATTGGTTGGTGGTATATTTGGTTAAAAATTAGAGAATACATGCTTCAGCTTATGATTTTCTATTCAGAAAAATCAAAACATTTAATAAATGAGTCTACTAACTACTATGTTTGCTTTCTGGATTTTTGAAATGTTTTAAATGTGTTTAAAAATAAAGTTTTATGTACATGTATGTGGGAAAATCATAAAAATAACCAAGAGATTCAGGTTTTTAAAACATATTAATATTTTTTATTAAACAATATTGCAAATAAATACTGTATTTAAGATTGCTTATAGAATATGAATTTTTATATCCCTATGAGCTTACTAAGTATCTAAGTATGTGATTTAAATATAACATTTCTGTTCTATAGGATTCTTCATCTAATAGATGCACTGGTAACTAAGTAATCCCAGTATGATACCTGCTTACCATTGACAAAAGGGATCTAAACTGTTTTAAAAAATAATTGAGACAATAAGAGCAGGTTTTTATGATGAAGAAAAAAATTTTAAATATAAAAAGAAACACTATGTTCACATTACTGGTAAATTTGTAGTATGTTACTCTTCTACAAAATGATAGTGGTGTGTAAAAAAGACATTCACTATTATTACTCCAAATTCCTATTTAACTGTGCATATCTGCATTCAAAATTGAGTAACTGAATTTCCCAAGCAAAACTGAATGCAGCCTCTTAGCAAAAATCTGCTGGAATTCTTATTTAATGTATTTTTTAATGGACTTTTGATGAGAAATGCTTATGTGGAATATTTCCCTTCTCTCCAACAGATTATACTTAGGAAACCTGAAAGCACCTTAAGAGAAGTATGCAAATACAATATTATAGAATATGTAAATGCAGTGTTTTTTCTGGCAATTTTACCAATATGCATGTATTTTCCTTTTGCATTGGAAAAGATGTCCTAAATAGAAGGAAATGATATTGTGGATAAAGTATAAATGATGCTACTATGCTCAGTATTATGAAAGAGAAATGGAATTTGACTAGTTAAGCACTTTTAGAATCTCACATCTTTTTTTTTTTTTTTTTTTGAGTTGGAGTCTCACTCCATGGCCCAGGTTGGAGTGCAGTGGCACGTTCATGGCCTGCTGGGCTCTGGCGATTCTTTCCCCTCAGCCTTCCAAGTAGCTGGAACTTTTTGGTGCACGCTACCACAGCCAGCTAGTTTTTAATTTTTTTTTTTTTTTTTGATTGTAGAGAGAAGTTCTCGCCAAGTTGCCCAGGCTGGTCTCAAACCTGTGGACTCAGGCAATCCACTAGCCTCAGGCCTCTCAAAGTGCTGGGATTACAGGCTGAGCCACCAATCTCAGCCGGAAACTCCCATCTTTGAATTTTAAATATTTAGAGAAACCATTCTTTAGGAATCTATTCAAGAACCATTCTTATTCCACAATGTAAGATTCATGACTTAAAATCTTATGAAAAGTTCACAATTTTCATCTACATGGCTTTTCTTTCTTATTTTAATATATTATCCAATGGTGACAAAATAACACAGAATGTTCACATAGACATTTAACAAAAACATTAGGCTGGGCACAGTGGCTCATGCCTATAATTGCAGTAGTTTGGGAGGCCGAGGCAGAAGTATCACTTCAGCCCAGGAGTTTGAGATCAACCTGGGCAGTACAGTGAGACCTCACCTCTACAAAAATACAAAAAAATTAAAAATTGTGATAAATAAATTAAAATTTAAAAATTCAAAAAAATTATAATAAAATTAGTCGTTGTCCATTTTCCCAATAATTATAGAAAACATAACCATTGATATTTGTTAAAAATGATATTTGTTTGATTGAATACACATTACCTTCCATACTTCTCAATCATTATAGAAGTAGATAGATAAAACTATCTCAAAATTACACCAAATTTTATACCTTATTAGGTGTTATCTACCAAAAAATCATCCAATCTTATCTGTATGAGAAGTCTTTTATATTTAAGTTCAATCGACATAATGTTAAGCAGTAGTGTACTTAAGAATCTAATGTTTAATTACATTTTAATACACTTCAGCCCAAAAAGGACTTTTTGTGGAGATTTGTAAATGCTAAATTTTAATCTCTTGATGCATGTTAAGATATAAGCTCTAAAGTACTCAAGAAGTTTTAGAATTCAGTAATCTTTATCTCTTTTAGACTACAACAAAGAAATAAACTATTTTTTGCATTAGTAAAAATTAGAATATATCTATTGTAGATTGCTAAAATAATTTAATTGTTAAGCTGCAGACTTATTTGCACTTAATAAATATATTTTGAAATATTCAGAATGTGTCTAAATGTGTTTTAATTTTTAAAATTTTATAATTAACTCACTACAGTTATTTCTAGAAATAATCATTCATAACTTATCTCATAGCATACTGATTTTTAATGAGAAACATATGATTTGAAAGCAAGAAACAAAACAAACACCAGAAAGGTAGAAGACAAAGAAATGTGTCCTTTGTCATGAAGTAAAGGTTGAGAACACTGTAATTAGACCCAACCTACCGTCACAGTTTGTGATATTTTCACTGCATGACAACCTTGTCTTCCTGATTCAACCTTGTACTTAATACTGACCGTCAATCTGAAAATGTACGCTTGTTAGCCCCTTTAACTAATTTCTCTGCATTTAGGAATATTGAGATTATCTCTAATAAATAAAGAATGGTTTATCTCTGACGAATATAGTTCAAGCATTTTAGCAGCCATCTTCATTATTTTACATTTTTCTAGGAGAGAATTTGAACACTTAATTTTGAGATGAAGACTTTACAAAAACAGAAAAGCGAAAGATAAAGTATAACTTGTAGCCCCTCTAATACTTCATCAACACACTAATTTGGTCTTAGGTTGTTAGAACCACAGGGAGTTAAAAAATAATGAGTGCTTTATTGAAAGAGTTTGTGATTTAAACCTGGTTGGTCTGCTGTTGGTTGGTTGGTTACTTGGTATCTTTCTCTCTCTTACACACTTTACTAGATGTCAAGGAATGCCCCTTCTCATTTCTGTCCTTTTTTTTTTTTTTTTTTTTTTACCATAAACCGCCTCCCTACCCTACCTGTAGACTGAAAACCAATCTAAAATAGTTTATCACTTTTGTCTGTACATTAGGTCATTAGAGTAGCTTTAAAATCTCAAAGCCCAGTTGCACCTTAGACCAACTAAACCTAAATCTCTGGGGTTAAAACACAGGCACCTATATGTTTTAAAATTCTCTATGTGATTCACTCTATATTCAGGCTTGCAAATCACTTTTCTATAAATTATGCCTGAGCCTTTGAATTATCTTAATTGTGAGATGAAGAGTTTCCACACAGATGCAGTTTTCCCACTACTTGCTTTTTTATAACTTAAACATCCTAACATACAAACAGTCTTACATCATAATTATGACTTGAAAATAGTTGTTTCTAAAGTTCTTTCTTGGGCAGATACATTTTTTATTAAAAGGACATGACACCCTTCTTTCACATGATAGTTGCTATCATCAGACATTGCTGTGGAAATAAACACCCACTGTAGCTAGGAATCCTAAACTTTGACTACTTACAAAAGTTACTTGGAGGCATTTAATTTCTCCAAGAGGAACCCTTGGTCAGGTTGCAAATACCTAGCACTCTGATTAGTACTGTGAAGGACAAAATTTTAAAAGGGAATTATTTTGTCCTCTTTCTTCTCCTCTTCTTCCTCCTCTTTTCCTTCTTCTTTAATATTGGTGACTTTATTTGATTTTGGTTATGGCTCTTTTTAAAAATAGTTAAACTAAAATAGAATACTTAAATTTTAGTGTTAAATAATTTATTCAAATTATTGTGCAGTGAATATTTGATTGAATACATACAATTGTTCAATTTTAGACATTTTTAGAGTAAATGGGTTAAACTTTATGTTCTTCTTTTATAATAAGATAATAAAGTGAATATAGATCTGCAATAAGAGTTTAAAATACTATCATAATACGGGCAATTTCTTCTCTTACTATATATCACTGCTCCCACTTCTCTAAATAATTATTCTCATAATTTTTACTTCAATTGAAGATCTCTGTCTTTAGGAAAGTTAATAATATCATTAATCATCATTTCAGTTTAACATGATTCTGATTTCATTGGTCTGGATGTACCTTATATGCATAAACTTTTAAACTTTCTCAGGTAATTCAAATACATAACCCAGATTGAGAACAATTGCCCTAACTTGGATAGAAACTGCAACCTTAGAAAACCTTTCTCAATCAACAAGGAATGATCAATAGTTTCTCAATCGTTTTTAATAGATAAATGCTGACAACTTCATACAGCTCAGTGAGTTCTCTACCATATCCTAATATTTGCAACTAAATTTTGTGTCTTTGCATTTCTCATAATGACTTACCCAGATATTCCCATCTTGATGATAAGGTTTCCAATTCCTCCCTGTGTCACTGTAGAGCATCCGGTATTGGGTCACCCAATCTGAGCTGCTGTATCGTCCTTGAGTTGCAACAGCACTGATCTGCTTCCGATTGCCAAAGTCAACCTGAAGCCATTGATAATGGTCACTGTCTGATGGGGACCATCCCCCGGCACCTGAAAAGGGCAGAAAAGAGGGAAAAATGGATATATACATTTGAATTTGTACAATTGATACAGGAATATTCTACATGTCTTAATTGGCCTTGGCAGTGCTATATTTCACAAATATATTATGAAGTGTCCTTTAGAGATGCCATTGGGACTTCAACTAATATTCTTCCAGCTGGGTAACATTGATTCTTTAACCTCTTTATGGTGTAATTATGTGCTCATTTTCTTCTGAGCAAATGTCTTCATAATTCCTCAAATAGATCTTATTAGTACATGTCAAAGTCTAATTGACTGAGGGTTGATCAATTTACCATGAATTCTTCAGCTAAAATTATGAGGAAAAAATAGGTAACTATCTAATTTCTTTTTCTTCACATAAGATTACTTTTTAGTAAATTGTAAATTAAACAACAAACAATTATACATAAAATATATTATGTCCTAAGAAGTTTCAAATTCTAACAATATTAGTAATTCTAATCTTATGTTAAATCCCTGTACTACAGAGAGGTAAGATATATAGGAAAACACGCAGTATGCTTATTTGATAGTTAGAAGATATACAACCATTGTCTCCTGAAAACAAATTTAAAAAAAATTAATGTGAACTACTAAACATAGTAAAACTTCTTTTGGTAAAATAGAACAACTGATTGGCAAATAGTAAAAATGCAAAAACATTTCTTAGAAAAGCAGTACGAATATAGACAAAAGACTCTTAATTTATGGTAATATTTAAAATAACTATGATTACACACAAATAAGTTATAGAAAATATTATATAATTCTTAGTGTTAAGAGGCATTATACTTTGGGGGGGTGAGTTCAGTAAAAAGAGTGAATGATAGAAAAGTATTCAACAAATTATTTAATGTACAGTTTATTAAAATATTTGCACTGCTTTGTAAATAAGGACTTTGAAAACTGACAAAATAATTTATTCTGAGAACTCTTATAATAAAAATCATTTGTAAATCTTCATAGATATTCAATTAACTATGTCTATGTGGCCTATTTTTTCTTAAAACTATGATAGAATAGCTTTCGAACAAATTGAAAAATGGACAGAATATATAAAATGACTCTTTTTAAGAACTGGACTATGAATAGGCAGTGCAGGACCTGGATAAATAAGGTGAGTTTTGCCAACTTCCTGATTTTCTGCCTGCTTCACTTTCTGGATCATAGCATATGGAAGAAAATTCCAGAGTACAGCAGTGTCACTGAGATAGAGACAGATCAGAATTCAAAGCTACTGAGGATATTTTTGCCCATTTTATAATGGGGTTTTTGTTTTCTTCTTTTCAGTACGTTTCAGTTCCTTGTAGATTCAGGATGTTAAGCTTTTGTCAGACTTAGAGTTGGCAAATACTTTTTCCCATTCTGTAGGCTGTCTCCCTGCTCTCTTTGGCTTTGCAGAAGCTTGTCAGTTTAATAAGGTCCCATTTGTCTATCTTCTCTTTTAAGTCCTGTGGGTTTCGGGTTTTGTACAGGAATTGGATGCCAGTTCCGATTTCCATGAGAGTATTTCCTTCCTTTTCTAAGGTTCTTATGGGTTGAGGTTTTACATTTAGGTCTCTGATCCATTTGGAGTTAACCTTTGTGCATGGGGATAGATAGGGGTCCTGTTTCAATCTTCTGCATGTGGTCAGCCAGTTTTTCCAGCACCATTTACTGAATAGGTTCTCCTCTCCCCATTGGTAGGTGGTGGGGGCTTTGTAAAAAAAAAAAAAAAAAATTACCCACAACTGGGTGACTTAGAACAACAGAAAAAAAAAAAAACAAAAAACAAAAAAACAAAGCTACTGAGGAAGTTGGAATTTGTAGGACAGCTTCCCAGAGAGGCAATAGCTATGTAGAAAAAGAACTCTGGAAATCACCATAGGATCACTAATGAGTGTCTGGAATCTAGAAACTGAATAAACCTGTGCTATATATTTGTTGTTTTGAAATGATCAACAGAGACCACACAGGGTTGGGGAAAAACTGACTAGACAAGATTGAGAGACCAAGTTAAACCACCCAGGTATTTAGTAGACATCCCAGAAAGATTATTTACTGGAAGTAGGGCCAGTTTTGAAACACCAGAACAAAAGTTACTGAAATGAACATGTCTGACCCACAAATAAATCTCTTGCCTGAAAAAAGAACCTCAACATTCCATTAAGAAAATCTATGAACATTTAGAAACTGAGCAACATTGCATCCATAATGTCAAATATAAAACTTATAAAAAATTAGTAGACATTTGGAGAAACAGAAAGATGTAACTCATATAAAAAAAATCAATTGAATTGTGCCCCCAAATAACAGAGATGATGAAATTAGCAGACTAGGATTTTAAAGCAGTGATTATACATTAGTTTTTTTTAAAAGAAGACATATAAATATTAAAGAAATAAATAGAACATTTTTATGGGAAAAACAATAAAAAACAAAATAAATATTTTAGAAATAAAAATTACATCTGAAATAAATAATTTAGTAGGTGATCTTAATAGCAGTTGACACAGAAGAAAACATTGGTGTAATAAAATATAGATCCATGTAAATGATCCCATTGGAAGATCAGAGAAGAAAAACAATGCTTAAAAAATAAATAGTACTCCAGTGAGTTGTGGGACATTCATAACTGCCCTAATAATTAATCATATAAGTCAAGTATTAAAAGCATAGAAGGTAGAGATTGGGCCAAAAAAAAAAATGTACATTTGAAGAACTAATGGTTGAAAGACATAAACTCAGGTAACAAAGAAGTTCATTGAATTCCAAGCAGGATAAACAAAAAGAAAAATACACTAAGGCACACATAATCATTTCCTTTAAAAAGTGCTGAAGAGAAAATCTTAAAAGTAGTCACAGAGTAATAATTTCTCCACAGAAACAATGCAAGCTAAAAACATGGAACATCATATCAGGCATGAAGCAAAGGAAGGAAAAAAAAAACTGTCAAACTAAAATTCTACATCCAGCAAAAATATCCTTTAAGAATAAAAGTAACAATAACATCTAAGACAAAAGCTGAGGGAATTCATCAACTATAAATGTGCACTATAAGAAATGTAAATTTTTCAGCTTCAGGGAAACTGTGCCATATTGAAACTCATAGTTACATAAAGAAATAAATGCTTAAAATGGTAAATATGTCAGTAAATACAAAATATTTGTGTTTTAAAATTTCTTTAAAAGCTAATTAAGTGTTTAAAACAAAAATAGCAGCAGTGAATTAGAAGGTTTATTAGAAGTAAAATGTATAATGACAGTAGCACAAACACTAAAATGTAGGGCATAAAATATACTGTGCTGAATTTTTACATTACACATGAAGTGAACATTTGAAAGTAGCAAGTCCTAGATCAAGGTTCAGAAAAGTTTTTCTGTAAAAGGTTAAATATTAAATATTTTAGGCATTTCATACTATGTTACCTCTGTTATATCTACTAAATTCTGTTGTGTGAAGCACCCATAGACAGTACATTAACAAAAGAGTATAAGTGTATCACAATAAAGTATTATTAATGAAAACTGATGTCTGGATGGAGGACTGTAGTTTATTAAACTCTGCCCAAGATCAACCTCTAAAAAACTAAAAATGTGAAATCTGTGCATCTCACTATATCTAAACTATACCTTTTCATTTAGAAAAGATTTAAGTACATAGTGTGCATGTGTGTATAGGCTACATATGTGTTATCTATGGAATATGTTTGTAACATACATAATACTTAATTTTGCAATCTCGAGTCTCATATCTTTAGTCCATACTTTTTTAATAATAATCTTTCTAAAATGCAAATTTTATTTTACTTAATCCTTGTTCAATACCTTTCAATTGTTCCTCATTGCTTCCAGAAATAAATCACTCACACCTCTACAGACAAAAGACATATCTGTTGACCCAGTAAGTACCCATATATCTTCTCTCAACTTGACCTAGTAAAAATTTACTTCAAGTATTAGCATGTTCACTGCAAATATCACCCCTTGTTGTAGTGCTGTGATATGCCATTCAGGTCTTCCTTTATGAGAGTAGGACTCATCCTTTCATCTGACTTGGAGCTCTGTAAGCAGACAGTACTTAGCTATAATTATTTTTCAGAAATATTGTGGGTTTAAATGAGGCACTTTACTGATATGACACACCTTCATGAGGTTGTGCAAATGCAATGACTGTTCGACTTGGGGCCATAAAGAGCCAGTACTCTGCCCCAACTTGTGGAAATTCTAACATCTTCACAGTCTCAGAGCTCCCTGAAGAATTGGTGGAAGACTTCATTGACACTGTGTTGCACTTAAGCTTCTTCCTCTGGCTATTTTCTGCTTAATTCCTTTCCCTTCCACAAATTTCCATCCCTAAAACACTCCCTAATTAACTTCCTACATGCTAGTCTCCATCTCAGAATTTGTATCCTGGGGAACGGAGTCTTCAATATCCCCTTGGGACTACTTTCCTGATAATTTGTTCATTAAAACAATGAGTTAGTTGTCCCTGCTTTGTAATATGTTTGCAATATACATGTTATTTTGTTTTCCTATTGTAGTATCTAACAGTGCCTATAGTCATATATAATCCACATGTCTATTTTACCTAGAATTCTGTAACTTTTGGAGTATCTTTAGATTAATTTTGAGGATAGCAATATACTCAGACATCAAGAGATAATAAATATATTTTCTTACTTGTTAGATACACAATTCCAAATCTTGAAGAAATTGAATAGCCAATTGCATAAAAAATTCTATCTCTGTGTCACCAAAAGCAGCAGGGAGATTCATATAATGAAGTAAAAACTGGATACATGTCCACTTGATTATTTGGTAAAATTTATAATATTTCTTCTAAATGTTTTGCTAATGAATACTCCAGAATAAATTTTAAGTTACTCATCTTTTTGCATTACAATTTTTCAGTAAGTAGGTAATTAGTATACAGTGACTTAATCCCATTCATCCTATTACTTTTAACAAAATAGAATTTGTCGTCAACCTTAAGGGAGAAAAAA